AAGAGCCAACTGGGCAAATAAGTTCGCAGTAGACCGCGCGCGCAGCGCGCTCCGTGTTTGCAGACCGCCCTGGCGGACTCGTTTACACTTCCAAGCTCAAGCCAGGCGCCGCAGGCCATGAAGAGGAGCGCAGATTAAAATGGCGCCGCAGGCTCCCCGGGCCGTCCGCGCACAGACCACAGGAAAAAACAAAAATCTATAAAACATCTATCAACACCACTAGGGGGTGGCTGGGCTCCGATCTCCCCATCTCCAATACTCTCTAATCCACAGCGTCGTCATCTTAGGCCGGGGATCCAGTCAGATCTCCGATCTCCATCTTCAATCTCCAATCTCCAACGTCGTCATCTTAGGCCGGATTCAGTCAGATCTCCGATCTCCATCTCCAATCTCCAATCTCCAATCTCGATTCGGGGACCCGGGGGAGGAGGGGGGCTCAAACCTTCAAGGAGATGCGCTATGGATTCATTCACACTGACCATCTCTCATCTCCAATCTCCAATCTTCTACTTGGCCACTGTCGCCGCCGGCAGCATCTACGACCTCCATTTTCAATCTTCGATCTCACATCTGGGGCGGATGGCTGGGCGCTAGGATCTACAATCTGCATTCTCCATCTCCTATCTCCACATTTTGGCCCGTGTTGCTGCTCAGCGATCTGCAATCCACAATCTCAATCTTCGATCTTTAGTCTTGAATGGGGAACCGGACTGGAGGGATCTACTGGCGAGACTTGGGCGTGTCCGTGTGAGAGATCCGCTAGGATCTCCAGTCTTAATCTACTATCTCTACCCCAACGATCTACTGGTCTTGCGTAGAGATGTCCATTACTCGAGTTGGTCGAGCTGACGGGCAGAGAGCCGCCAAGAGGGCAGCAGCGGAGCGCGGTGGAGGCGAGCGCGCCACAAGCAAAAGGTACATACCCTTTGCGGCCTCTCTCGCCGTGTGAACTCGAAATAGGCCTTTAACAAGATGGCGATCTCCCATGCGGACTAGGACGCGCTACGCGCCACACGCCACACACAGACATGACGGACCTGACGGTTGATTGTTCGCGTTGACGCTCCGACGAAGGGAGGGTGGGAGGCCACCGCTCACGGCTGTGCACAGCTGCTGCCGATCTCTGACCTTCTAACATCTACCCTACACGCTCCATGCTTCATGCTCCATGCTCCCTCGTGTCACAAGCCGCGGCAGTCTCACGCTGACTGCACACCGACGCCCGTCCAGTGGCGGAATGGCAGATCGAATATGCGCGTCCGAGCGTCCTTGGCTGGGCTCGGTATCGGCACTGGAGACGCTGAACGCCTCTTGCGGCTCATCCTCTCCTGATCGACAGGCGTGCTGAGCCTGTCGCTCACGGGGCACCAGGAGAGGGCGTTGAAGGCGTCCAGCCGGTGCTCTTGGCTGCAGTAAGCGCGGTCGCAGAGCATGAAGACGGCTCTGCCCTTGTGGATCTCGCCCTGGCAGCGTGCGCAGTAGAGGCGGTTCATGGCGACTGTAGTGGCGTCGGCGGCGGCTCGAAACGCGTCGGCCGGCGTCTCCTGTGATCGTCGGCGGCGTCGGCGGCTCGGCGACGTCGGCGAAACACCAAGGGCAAGGAGAGGGTGGCGGCTCGACGACCAATTTTTCGAATAAAAAAACGCAGATCAACCCATTCCCAGGGCTTGGGCTATCTAGCCCGTAATCCGATCCCGATCATCTGGCTCGCTGGGTGCGCTTCTTAGCTCCCCGGCCCTGGATGTGCGGTTACTGACTGCACTCCAAGTGCTCCAAGTGCTGCCTGCCGAGTTTTAAAGAAGAAGTACTTGGCTTCTTCTCGGACTACACTAACGTCTTCTTCTCGGCCATGCACTGACCACAAGGAAGAAATGACAACTACGTCTGCTCCTTCATTAAAACTGAGGGCCCAACAGGAGAATCGTGCTTTCAGTGGGGTTGTTTGGTGTTGGGTTGGGTTGGTTGGGGGTTGGGTTGTTCCGCGTGAGGTTGGGTCGTCGGCGCGAAGGGTGAGGTCTCGACCGCCGCCGCTCACGCCAGCGGACGGCCACCATCGGTGTTTTTGGCTTCGCCACCGTTCAAAGCGTGCGCAATGCGCTCGCCGACATCGAGCGAGCACGCCTGTCCGACGAGTGGCTTGCTGTGTGGACGCCTTCTTGTGGCTCTCGCCGAGAGCGTTTTGCGTCCCGGCGGGTGGGAGAATATGTGATAGGAACGAGTGTATCGCTTCGACGGATCGACCGTGCTTGTTATCAAGACCGATATGTGACGCACACAGTGACACATCAGACGACCGCTAGTGGCCGCGGCGAGGATCTCCCCGCCTAAACAACCTCATGAGGACGGGCCGGCGGCGGCGCCAGCGGGAGGGCTCTTGATGTAGAAGAGGGCCACCGGGCAGAGCTGGTTGCTCTCCTTGAGGATCAGCTCGTCGTAGGCGGCCGGCAGCGTCGGGTCGGTGCGCTTGCCGGTGGGG